CTCAAAAGAAATTAACTTTAAAAAAACAGATTATAAATTGAAACCAAAAAATGAATGCTGAAATAAATATTGTTACAGAATTGTTTTAAATTTCCAGGACATTTTACCCAATGTTTAGAGAATGATCAGCTTTTACTCCAAACATTTAAAACAAAAACTGCACTTTGTGTAGTTTCTATGCAGGATATATTTGACTTTTTTTAGTACAAGAAGATTGTGACTTAGTTCCTTCTTGTCCTTCTTGAATATTTTTTAATAATAATAATAATAATTATTATATATTATAATAATTATTATATATATATATATATATATATATATATATATATATATATATATATATATATATATATATTATTAATTTTATTGTTAAGGACACATTTTTGTAAGAAATTTATATTGAGTTCTATGGAAAATATATTATATCTCTATTTTGTTTTAAGTAATTTGCATACTTATGTAACTTGGATGAACATAAAATATTGTCATCTGGGAATCTGTGTTCTGTTAATCCTCTATTATAATCCTCTATAATAATCAAAATTTTTATGAATCAACAGCATGAATCAACGACGTGTATTTTTTCGTAGGATCAAAGTTAAGCAGCTATTATTACAAGAATTGGCCGCCTGAAAATACCCCTTTTTTGATTTTTGGCTCGTTTAATTTGCGTTGAGGAACAAGATTTGCGATCCTGAATGATGATTACGAGCAACCTGTTAAACTGCAACCCGTTATCAAATTTCGCGATATCGTCTGCTGTTTATAAGAGGTGTTAAGGTAGTTAAAAAGTTGGAATCACGGATGCTATTTATCATACACGTTTGGGATATCTTATGCTGTTTACGCGGTATCGTTCGGCCTAGAACCGAATCGCCATCATGGACGTCGTTTACAAATATGCATGCGGGCCCAAGTTATCCCTACTGATTTCTTAATATCATATGGTCCCATTTCAGGTTCGGCTTTCTTCTAGGTCTCTTAATTCGTCGTGGGTACCATACTGTAATTATCTTTTGTGGTCCATCTGTTTTGTCTGTTCTTCTTGCCAGGTGTTCATTTGAGGGATTTGACTCTGTGGATGACATCTATTACCTAGGTATTTTGTAGTATCCACTCTATTCTTTCTTAACCCTTAACAGGCGTGGTCCGAAACTTTAGCACTCCATGCGTTGAGGAGTCCCTGGGACTCCAAAATATACAGGTGCGCTGTATTAGTGTTATCACAACATAATTTTTTTTTCGTTATATACATCGTTAAACACTTACAAGGAAATATATTTTTATTTTTACAGCCATATTATTTACAAAATAGAGTAAAAAAAGCAAACAAACCAAAAGTAATACAGTTTGTACAAAATGAGCATTTTACGTATCATTATGAGCATTATGAGCATCATCGTATTTTACAAAAAGGAAAATAAAAACAAAAACCATTACTCATTAAAAAACGCGATCACCAAGGTGAGAACTACAAAAAAAGAGAATGCAACCACCCCTAATGTAAAATTGCAAAAAATTGACAAGGGTTTAAAAACAAATACAGTATAGCTTTTATTTAGGAATCTTCGGTATTTTCTATGCATTGAACATACACTTTTCTTGAATATTTGATTGAACATAAATATTTTTAAATATTTTTTAGTTGTATCAGTTGTGTCACTGTCCTCTAAAGTTTCAGTAACCTCCATCCCATCTTAATCATCAGATTCATTGGCAGACATGTCACTCGCCATGTCGTGAACACTTGTGATAACATTTTCTGTTGTAACATGGCTCTCAGATTCTCCATCTTGGTCAGAAAACTCTTCCTCACTTTCATCAAACCATCTTAACATAGTTCCCTCAAAGTTAGGATCTGTGGCTTTAGCCACCTTTAATTTTTTAGACATAGTCACTAAATTGATATCATTACACTAACGGCGTCGCGGAGTCCCATGGACTCTAAGATGTTTGTTAGATGCACGTGATAACAGATCAAAGTCGTCTCAACATCCGACGGGTACCATCACCATAGGAAGCCAGTGCCGGTTTTACCTTAGCTACCGCCGGGTGCTAATTTTAAACAACGTCTCGTTTAGTGACTTAAAATAGTGACGTAAACAATTTTTTGAGATGCCACGCCCTAATCGTTATAATTTTGCATTATTACTATACACACCAATAGCATACAAAAAAAAAATTGGCGCCGGGAGGCACTTATAGCCGCCCATACTAAAATATGTTAATAAAAAGTTGGTAGGCAGTTTTCTTTTAGTTTCAAGGTAAAGGAATTTTTCCAATTTTTTGTTATCTCAAAAACTGCAACTTTGGCTGATTTTGATGTTATTACAAATTTTGTTGCAAATATTATTCCTAATCTTAAATTGAAAACCGCGTTTCGCTAGCTACTGTAATTTTGGAGTTACGATTTTTTAAAATTTTTAACCCCCCCCCATACCCCCTTATCAACCCCCCACCCCCACACCCACCAAAAACTAATGGCCAGATTCTCGGGTGCCACAGAATTTTTGTGCCAAATTTGGTTAAAATCGGTTTAGCCGTTTTTGAGTTATCGTGTGTATTTGTCACCATAAGGGTCAAGAAAATTCTTAAAATAATTCCGACGTTTGGAAACGTTGAAACCATATTATTGAAATGCAATCAATGCATCAAATATTTCGCATTTGACACGGAACATTCTTTGTCAAGAAAAATTATATTTTTTTTTTAACAGGACACATTCCTTACCAAAATATTGTTGATCTTGGTCAGATTGATAAACTAAAGCTAAGTCGTTGGCAGCATTTAATATGTTTTCATCCTCTAGATATTTTAATGAAAAAAAGAAATAGGAATAGCTTTATTGCAGTTTCATAAGCCTGTCCTCTTTTTTTCCAAATCACAAATAATTTGGTCTAATATTCTCTTTTTTTTTCGGTACATTTTTTATCGGCATTTCCCGGACGGGCGGCAGCGTTATAAAAGGTGCTGAATGCTGAATAATTGTTTTTTGTCGGCGGGCGAGCAAGCCCTCAAAGACACTTTTTTTAATAATTCTAGTTAGTACATAGTAGCCCATTTATCAATTAAAAATATATGTTTTAATCTTGCACTTTTTGAAGATTTAAATAACACTCTATTATTTCTAAATTCTTTGTGGATACCATGTAGTATCCACTCTAATCTTTCTTACTTTTTCGTGGGTACCATGCCTACTCATTCTACCCTCATGCTGTAATTCTTTTGTGGTCCATTTGTTGTCCGTTCTTCTTGCCAGGTGTCCATTTGAGAGATTTGACTATGTAGATGACATCTATTACCTAGGTCTTTTGTAGTATCCACTCTATTCTTTCTTAATTCCTCTTAGGTACTATGCTGTAATTCTTCTGTGGTTCATCTGTTATACGTTCTTCTAGTTAGGTGTCCATTTAAGGGATATGACACTGTGCATGACATCTATTACCTAGGTCTTTTGTAGTATCCACTCTAATCTTTTTTAACTCCTTAACTCCTCGTGAGTACCATTCTGTAATTCTTTTGTGGTCTATGTGTTGTCCGTTCTTATTGCCAGGGTCCATTTGAAGGATTTGACTCTGTGGATGACATCTATTACCTAGATCTTTTGTAGTATCCACTCTATTCTTTTACGATCCCTCTTGGTTATTTCCACTATTTAATAAATAACTGTCCGATATTACACCAGTCTGCAATCAATATTAACCGTACTTCATGAAATAAATTTCAAAAGTGATTAATGTTATCATGTAGAATGTAGAATGAGTAGGTGGGGTAATCACGGCGAACTAAAAGATCTATTGTGTCTTACTTTCTTAAGTTATAATTCATCATCGTACAGTCTATAACTCATCATACATTATGAGAATTTTCCTGTTGTAGGAGGGACTGTTTATTTTGTAGTTTTTCTTACAGTACAAGTGGCGAAATACCTATTGGATATTGGACTTTTTTGAAGATACCTAATTATATAAAATATTACCTCAAAGTGTTAATAGACACTTATATGATATTACTACCTATACTTTATCAATTGTAGAAATACTAATATTTTCGTTTCGCAAAAAATACCTAGGTAGATGCCGTTTACAACATGATAAATTACTGTCTTAAAATACTTTAAAAATAGAGATATGCCGGAAAATTAAAACTCTAATTCGCCACTATACATCAAAACACTTTACTTTTGCACCGGATGCGCGTTTCGCTGACCATGTTAGCATTATCAGCAGATAATTAATATTGTGATTTTTAATCATCAGTATTGTAATGAACTAGTGTTTTATTTTGCTGCTTTAACATCAAAAGTTTCAACTGTAGATCCGGACTAGTTTATATATTACTCAAGGGCATAACAAAAAAAGTATCAGAAGATCGAAAAAAAATGGTGTCAAAATTGGCCAGAAAATGAAACTTTCTTGTCATTTTATAAGTAAAATTATATGGCGAATGTCGTCATTGGAAATGTCAATTGTCTTGGAAATCGTCATTTCTAAGACAACTTATCATAAGGTACTTCATTGAGACTACTTGCTTTATTTTAATAAACTGTAGAGTAAAATCATATATTTTTGTTTGGTTTATAATATTTAAAATTTATGTTGGATTATCTAAGGTAATGTCGGCGATGCAACGGTATTGTCTGATATTGATTCGAAATTTTTAAACAGAGTATCTCTGTTTTATGTGTTAATATATAGTTGGGATATAATAATGGATATATTAAAGTATTAGATAAATTAAAAGTCTAAGGAATTTCGTACCACATGTCGATTGGCTTACTTAAATAACTCTATTTACCTAAGCATTACTTAATGCTTCTAATTACAAAATTTATCAGAGATTTTATAACGCAATTATAACACCTATTAAAATAAACCTATTTTTTCTAAATGAATAATGTTTAGATGAAAATACAACTTCGTTGATAAGGCTTAGTAGTTTGCGACAATATGTAATGACAAGACAAGTTATTTTTAATTGATATATTACGTTCTTTTTAGGGATGAATTAGATTCTAGATAATTGAAATAACCGATTAAGATAACGAAGCGTACACTAAATATGGCTGTGTCACCCCTTTTTGGTGTGTGGGATTATGTGGTGGTTGCAGTAGTTTTATTGATTTCATCTATGATCGGTATTTACTACAGGTTTACTGGAGGAAAACAGAAAACTGTACAGGTAAGATTTTTTTAAAGAAAATTTTATTCTTAAGGCCTATTTACAAAGTTAACTTATAAAAATGACTTTTTTGTTTCAACATTTTTTCAAATATTTTATTGTCTGGAAGATTCCCTTAAAACTTAATAATAATTTAGCATCAAAATTATAAAAAGCCGTACACTGTCACAGATAAAGTCCGCATGGAAATTTTTGTTTTTTTATTGTCTTAAGAGATAACCAATTTTTTCCCCCCGGTATATGTCAAATTTGACATTTCAAATAAGAAATGGTTAAAAATGGAGTTTCTGGCCGAATTTCGAAAAACTTTATTTGAAAAAGTTATTTATTCTTTATAGGGTCCGGCAATAGTGCGTCGGGCATCTGTAGCTGCTAGAATAAAAATCTTGGGAATTTTGTTAAAGTGCAAACTTAAAGTATGTACCAGGATGTATTTCAGGAAAATATTTTACCTTCTACAGGGCGGCTCAAAAAGTGTGAGTGGATCGGGATGATTTTTTTTTAAATCGAACACACTGTATATTATTGCATTTTTGTTTCCTGGATCACTTTACACAATCCTAAGATATGAGTAAATATATTTCTGTAGTTTCAGAGATATTAATAAATAAATAAAAAAATATATATTTTTCAGCCTTGCTTAAAAAAATTATTAAAAATACAAAGAATGTCCTGAAGTAAAAACTATATTAGGTATTTACTTTAAATTGTCTATATTTAGTTTGCTATAAATATCGTAATCTTAGATCATACAGGGTGTTCAAAATTCTATGGCAAACTTTCTAAAATATAAAATAATTTTTCTTCGTTATTTTAAATGGAACACCCTGTAGATTATTTTTTTTTTCTATTAGATGGAGAATTAAAAAATGAACATTTTTTGTATTTTGAGTATAAATCAAAATATTTAACGGTTTCGCAGATAATAGCAGCGCTATTTCATATGCCTCTTTCAACGGTAAAATACGAGAGAAAGTTCATTGAGTGGCTTTGATAAAAATTTACTGTGGAGAATGCCATATGAAATATAAAGCCGCGAATATCTGCGAAACGGTTAAAAATATTGAAATAGTCTAAATACAAAAAATGATCATTTTTTAATTATCCATCTATTAGACAAATCATGTACAGGGTGTTCCATTTAAAAAATCAAGTAAAATTATTTTATATTTTAGAAAGCTTTCCGTAGAATTTTGAACACCCTGTATGATTTAAGATTACGATATTTATAGCAAACTAAGTACAGACCTACTAACACACAGACCTACTAACAGACCCCTACTAAGTACGGAGAAGACCAACAGTTACGCTAATTAAATCGAAAAATAAAACCTGCATGTCGGCACGACAAGAACAAACAAATAAAAGACGTATGCGATGAGATATATTCAAGATAAATTTGGAAACACTACAAGTCTGGAAGAAATACTGCTTAGAGCTGTCTGGCGAAAACGCCAGCACTTCCGACAATAGTGTTGACCTTGGAAATGTAATCACAGAACCCGCCATACTAAGATCAGAAGTCCAAAGAGCTATAACTGGACTTAGGAACAACAAGGCTCCGGGAGTTGACAGTATTACCGCTGCGGTACTTCAGGCAATGTGAGAAGTCGGAATAGACCTTTTACATTTACTATGCAAACAAATTTGGGATACCGGCAATCGTACCTATCTTTAAGAAAGGATCACCACTAGACTGTAGTAATTACAGAACAATTATTGCCCTGATTCCCCATGCTAGTAAAATATCCTTAACCATTATCAACGAGCGTCTTAAATCCTTTCTCCTCCCGCAGATATCAGATGAACAAACAGGTTTTATCCCCGGAAAAGACACTAGAGAACAGATCTTAAATCTTCGGCAGATCATAGAAAAAGCCAGAGAATACAACATTGAGATGTACATGTGCTTCGTGGACTAATCCAAGGCATTTGATAAGGTAAAATGGAATAAACTCTGGACTATTTTACTAGAAATGGGACTATTTTATTAGAAAAAAACCTCACTTCATTTATTTGGTCAAACAGCTCTATGGGAAAAACAATGCTAAAATCAAAGCTAATAACACATTATCGAGTTGTTTCAAGAGTAACGCAGGTGTGTAAAGACAGGGATGTATACTCTCGCCAATCCTGTTTAATATCTACAGTGAATATATCATGCGTCGAATAATAGAAGAATGGAACGGTAGAATATCTGTGAGGGGCAGGAGGATAAATAACCTGAGATACGTGGATGGCGATACCGTGATTATAGCCGCCAGCAAAGTAGAGCTGCAGGAAGTTATGGCCGCACTGTGCTCTATTAGTGAAGATGGCTTGGAACTAAACAAACGGAAAACCAAGACAATGATTGTTGACCGCCTCTGCAACAACCAACCTGATGCCCGAACCGTGGCTGGATACGAGGTTGTTAGCCAGTTCAACTATTTAGGTTCCATGATAGCAAACTCTGGAGGATGCGAGGCTGAAATCAGGCGCAGATTGGCAATGGCGAGCAATGCAACAACAAAGCTGACTAAGATATGGATAAGTTCAGCAATCACCCGAAAAACTAAATTGCGCATTGCGAACTCTCTCATTTTCCCTATAGTATGGCTCTGAAACATGGACACTAAAGGAAAGTGATAAGCAAAGAATAAACGCCTTGGAGATGTGGGTATATCGACGGTTGCTGCGAATATCATTAACGGTTCATCGAACAAATATCTCCATTATCGAAGAACTAAAAATTGAGACACGTCTGGTTACCAAATTAAATCAGTCAATTCTCCGATATTTTGGCCATATTGTCAGGAGTGGCATCTCAATTGAGAGACTGATGGTGGAGAGAAAGGTAGAAGGAAGACGATCACGTGGAAGGTCAATTAAGAGGTGGGTAGACCAAGTCAAAACTCTAGTGGGCTACGACCTCCCCGAAGCCTCACATATGGCGCAGTGTCGAACAACTTGGGCCGACACACGATGTCACCATCCTCTCACGTAGGGTAAAGGACTGAAGAGAGAGAAGTACAGACCACCTAAAGTAAATACCTAATTTAGTTTTGACTGCAGGACAGTTCTTGTATTTTTAATATTTTTTTTAATAAAGGCTGGAAAATATATTATATATTTTTTATTTATTTATAACTATCTCTGAAACTACCAAAATATATTTACTCATATCTTTGGATTATGTAAAGTGATCTGAAAGGAAGTCAAAAATGCAATAATAGACAGGGTGTTTTATTTAAAAATTTATTTATTTATCGTATGGCTCGTACACATGGAGTAAAAATAATACAATATCTATAAATATAAAACAAAACATCAGAAAAGTACAAATACAACAATGTAAGGACGAACAGAGTGTAAAAAAGTATGTATATCAAATATTTACACTCATAGAACCAATCCAGCCGACTGCTGTCTGAGGAAGATCAAGGAAGTCATTTAGTGTGCCAGTGCGATAAGCCGTCATCTCGCAATCCTGCACTATGTGGCGGATGGTCTGGTTCCCCCTGCCGCAGCTGCCCAATGGATCAGCGATCTTTTTCCATTTATGGAGCGAGTCTCTACATATTCCGTGGTTTGAACGTGTCCTATTAGCGGTTTTCCAGACACGACGTGGTAGATCGAAACCAGCAGGTTTGTTATCAGGGTTTAGGCGAGAACTCACTTCTGGGGTAACTACTTGACATCACGAATGTTTCCATGTCTCGCTGATACTAAAGTCGTCATCACACAGCTTTTTGGCGGTCTTGACAGTAGGAAGTCTAGATTTAAGTCTACTCGACGATGCCGCAGTTATATCCTCGTGTATAGGAAGGTCAGTATGCGTCATAATTTTCTTGTACTCTCGAATTAGAGTCTGTTGCCTTCTGGGAGGTCTGCCACCTTTGAGCTAAAACCCACTTGGAATCGATGAGACATATGGAATTGATTTAAAAAAAGTCATCCCGATCCACTCACACTTTTTTGAGCCACCTAATAGAAGTTAAAATATTTTCCTGAAATACATCCTCGTACATACTTGGGTAGGTACTTAGGTTTGCATTTAAACAAAATTTCCACAGTTTCTTATTCTAGGAGCTACAGGTGCCCGAGGCACTATTACCGAACTTGAGAAACCAACCTAGAGTGTACCAATTTTCAGCCATCAAGATGAAAAATAAAATTTTGTGATTTTTAACCAATAGCAACCGATTCTAGTGGTAGAAGCAAAAATAACTAATGTTAGTTTGTCTGTTTGTTTAAACATTTACCTAAAGGTCATATGTTCAGTTTAATTAAAAATAGAGTTGTAAAATTAGCCAAAAAGTGATGCAAAGTATGAATAAATTTTTCAGATAGCATCATAAAATTCATATTTATACAGGCTGGGAACTTATTGGCATAATACTAAATTAAAAATGTATTTTTCATAGTATACTTATAGAATGGTTTGGTTAGATATTGCCCCTATCTGATCAAATTAAATTGAAGTATTATAAAAAATTGTTTAAATAACATAATACTATGCATCGGCCAAATATTTAAAAAAAAAATTGAAATTAAATTGGATAATCAAAGAGAAAAAAACTCTAGTACCTAATGATGTCACCTCAATATTTCAAATTAATATTTTATACAACAAAAATTTACTGTTCATAAAAAACTATTAATTTTTTCAAAACATTGAACTATGTGAGTACTAGATAAGTATTTGAATGAGAAACGGGCTCCTATCAAATATTTTTACTTCTATCATTAAACTCGGCTGCTATTGGTTAAAAATAACAAAAATATTGTTTCATCTAGATAGCTAAAAATTGGCATATATGCAAACTTACAAAAGAAATAATAGTTTCGCAACAAAGGAAGTAAATTTCTCAAGATATTTGTCGTAAAAAATAACTGTTTTTTGATTTAAAAAATATTTTTAGTTACTCTGTCTACGCGAATTGACTAGAAAAATAAAAACTATAGCCAGAAATAAAAATTGCCAAAGAACTAATCTTTAATTTTAAATTAATTTATTCTAAATTAAGAATTTGTAATTTATGTTGTATTCTCAATTAAATAATCTAATCAAAATAAAATGCAGTTTTAAAATGATATAGATGTTGAAATCACGGACATTTTAATCATCGATATTCAGAAAATAAAATAAAAATATGTTGTAGGTAGTACAACCCTCTTAATGTATGCGCATAACGATTTCTAACAACAGAGACACTGAGTTTCTAACTACAAAAATTTAGATGAATTTACCACAATACAAAAAGAAATTAAACATTCTGTACCCACGCCACGTCCTCCTAACCATATTACCAAACCTACTAACCATAAACCATGAGAAATTATCCTCAATTTATATAAACTGTTCTGACTAAAATTCAACTCAGAATTAAAATACACTTACCGGCACGAAAAACGGGCCTCTTAAAATTTTGATGTATTTTCAAGTTTAATATAAAGTTCCCATCTGTCAATAATACGAAGGAAAACAAAATGTTGATATTTTAGTGAAAGTTTGAAACATCCTCTGGAATATATTAGCAAAAGAAGTAATTTAAAAATCATTTTATCATCTACGTACGGTACGTCTTTTCTCGATAGTCTGTTTTTTTGATTCATATCAATAGCTTTATTTTTATTGGAGATATTACCTTTTCAATAAGACAGTAACGATTTACAGCAATTTTAGCATTGAAAGCATGCCTTTGCTTTTCTTCGTCAACACCCAACACCCTTCTAAAAAGTGTTTATTATTTGTGTAATATCAGTGTCACTGAAAACTCATATTATTGTTTATTGACGTTTACTTTAGTAGAGATTTAGAGATGGTTTTAAGTTCTGAAGTATCGACTTTAATTGATCATGGTAGAGATTAACTTCTCTGCTAGAGAGTAACTGCCCAACAGACAATAATAATATGATTTTTCAAAGAGGATTTCAAAAATGATTTTTAAATTCTCAGACCAAAAACAAAGGTATGGTTTGAATGTAAAAATATCTACTAAAAAATGCTAGTGTCCTCTTGAAAAGCAAATATCTAAAAAAAAACTATTGAGATGAACTAAAAAAACAAACTATCGATAAGAAAGATGAACACCTAGATGATAAAATAATTTTTAAATTCTTTGCTGTGTTAACGCACTCCATAGAGTGTTTCAAACTTTCACCAAAATATCAATAATTGGTTTTCCCTCGTATAATGACAGACAGGCAACTTTTATTTTTAATTTAAAAAGAGGTACTAAAAAGTCAAATAATTTACCTACAAATTGCTTAAAAAATCAGCAAAATTGGTGTACTAGAACACAATATACCGGGTGCGTCTCAAAAGTGACTCAACCCCTATATCTTTTTTATTTTTTCAGATAAAAAAACGAGCTTTGGTACGTTAGTTTATGATAAATTAGGATTAATTGACGTATTCAATTATTTTCGGTCACTTCCTGTTTCACCGGAAATGAATACAACTTTTGATTTTTAAATGGCACCCTCGATATTTTTTTACTTTATTCAATAGTAAATGATACTTTGATTAGATTGACATAATATATATGTCAACTTTTGGTATTTTGGTTTATTTGAAATTGTAACGACAATTTGGTTCATAACGAAAATTTGACTCGAAATACCAAGTGTGTGCAAGCGTGTTTTCCCAAATATACTAATGAACTACCTTTGTTTCATTTGAAAAAGTTGAGATATGATTAAAATATGATTTGGGCATCTTTTAACCGGCCAGGACAAGACACTAAAAACATTAGACGATGACATCTATTTTTCCAACGCTTCTTGATTCAAAAATTAGTGTTCCTAACACAACCATAGCACTCTAGATTAAAATTTAAAAGTACAATTTTTTTTAAGCGAGAATGTCAAAAGTTGACATATGATATACCATTCTATTCAGAGTGTCATTTTCTAGCGAATGAAGTAAAAAAAATACCGAGGGTGCCCTTTAAAAACCAAAAGTTGTAGTCATTTCCGGTGAAACAGGAAAGTGACCGATCGTTTTTTTTTATCTAAAAAAAATAAACAAGTTATAGTGGTGAGCCACTTTTGAGACGCACCCGGTATAAAAATTTAAAATACATGAAAATTTTAACGTCCCCGTCTAGAGGTGTATAGGTATTTATTTTTGGTATTTTGCGGTAAACTAATCCAATTGTTGTCAGTTTTAACTAAAAATATTTTCTTGAAATCACAGTCTTTGCCAACGTCACACACAGCACACATAGATACGCACAAAAATCCTATATAAATCTCTTGGAAATTTAACACTTCACATTTCACTTTTTTAAATTATTTTTACTAATATTATTATATGAAGAAGTTCTTCACTTATTGATTAATTTTTTGAACGTGGAGCTTAAAACACTTCTATTTATTAATTTGGTATGGTGCCTACCACTACTGTTTTACCCTCTTAAGTGAGTCCATTTTATATATACTATACCACCAACAGCTTCAGATTGCGTAAAAATTATCTACTTCCAAATTGAGAAGAATTGTTGAACAAGAGAGTTCTAGATATATCTAGTAATTTATCCAGTATCTTTTAGTAGGTCGAATCATAAAATTTGCAATTTGCGAATTAAAAGATATCAGCAGTAATAGTTATTAAATCGTTTATTAATAATATAATATATTATGTATTATCCTTTATATATACAAGGGTATTATTTACTGTTGAATTTTTGTATTATATTAAATTACTTGAGTCGGTTTTATTTAAGTAATCTTGCTAGTGCCGGGCTTAATAGCAAATTTCAACACTTTCAATCAGTGAAATATTTTGTTATGATAGTAAAAATCAGATAGCATGACATGAGTAAAAACGAAGGATGACTTATTCAAACTCATTAAAAGACACGTTTTTTTCAATGCTACCCTAGTGTTTACTAAAAATTTGTGGTACATTGGGGATACGCATATTTGGGATCAAAATAAGTTCATTGGACACAATTTATCTCTATACAAAAGTGCTTCGTTTGTTCGTTAGAAGGCATCAAACTTTAAAAAATAGACACATTTTTTTAGATATTTTATCATACCGGTGTTGACCCGAATGTATAATAGAGAGGATATATCCCTCTTTCTTTATTGCCTTATGCCTCCTTTATAATCCTACAGAAGGGCAGAATGTATCCAAACCAAACCAAACTAAAAAAACTGCAGTGAATGTGTTTCAGAGGCGGTATGTCAGACCACCACGTTATGGTGCGTCCAGACCTGACGAGACGAGAGCGAGACGAGCACGAGACATTCCAAGTGTGGACGGGTCTCGCGAGAGCCTCACGAAACAACCCACGGAGCCTCGTTGCTATCCGTCCCCTGTTGGTTTTTTGAGGGCCGAGATCAAAGAAAGTTCTCAGCTAAGTCTGCACGTGTTTTTGGTAGGCTCACTCGACTGCGAGATATTAGCTCTGATTTATGAATTTCGACTATTTATAATTATATAATCTCAAGTTTTTAAATGGTACACCGTATGTATTATCATTTTTTCTGATAGAATTGAAAATTTTGCGTCACTGGTAATTTTTTCCGTACCGAAATATAACATTTCTTTAAACAAATTGAATTATTACAAAATCTATTAATTTTAGATATATAATATCATATGCAAAAAAAGTTGTACGTAGAATCACAGATAACACATAATGTGTTATCTGTGGTAGAATCTAATAATAAAATAAAAAATACCTATACCTATTAGAAAATATTATGTTATATCTGCAACACTTTTTTGAAGTACCGTGTATACTCTACAGTAATGTTAAAATGTGCTTCCTAACCTTCCCAATAATTTTTTTATTTAATGTTTTGTTCTAAAAAAACGTTAAAAACGTATCATGTAAAAAACGTCGTGTCTTAAAACAAATGAAGGGATAAAGGGGAAAACAGCCAAAAGGGAAAAAAAAACGACCATTAATAAAATACGACGAACCAAATACCATGTTAAAGATACAAACATTTATTACTGTATGCGTTATTATTTGGCCATCGTTTGTTATATTCAATTACAATTTAATATGTGTTTGGCTTCCTTTCACTATGGTCCTACTCGGGGCGTATCTCGTGGCAGGCTTGCGTCATAAAATGGATAGAAAATGTCTCGCTCTTGTCTTGTTCTCATCTCGCGCTCGGCTCGTCAGGTCTGGACGCACCATTAAAAAAGGGTTAAAGATTACTCTCGTCTAATATCCAATTATTTTTGGAACTTATATACTTGGTGTTTTCAGGAATATCTATTAGCGGATAAGAACATGTCTATAACTCCAGTAGCCTTTTCCCTGATGGCTTCTTTTATGTCGGCTATCACATTGCTGGGCGTGTCCAGTGAGAATTATACTTATGGATTTCAGTTTATTGTCATTAACCTTACATATGGTTTTTTTACACCTGTAGCTGCATATTTATTTTTACCAATATTTTTTAAACTGCAAGCGACCAGTGCTTATGAGGTATGTATGTATTATTGTGCCGGTAAATCAGTAGTAAATGATTTATTTTGTTTCTGTAAATGTTATACTGGATGCGTCTCAAAAGTGGCTCACCCTTATAACTTTTTTATTTTTTTCAGATAAAAAACGAAATTTGATATGTCAGTATATGACATAAATTAGGATTGATTGACGTATTCAATTGTTTTTGGCTACTTTCTGTTTCACCGAAAATGACTACAACTTTTGGTTTTTAAAGGGCACTTTCAATATATATCTATTTTATTCGATAGAAAATGACACTCTGAATAGAATGAGATTTCATATGTCAATTTTTAAATTTTCATATGGTGCATTTTAAAATTGTAACATGAGGGTTCATAACGTCAACTTGACTCGAAATACCAAGTGTGTGGTTATTTGTAAAAATTGAATTATTCGTAAAAAATTGCGTTTTCAAAATATACTAATGAGCCACCCTCGTTCCATTTGAAGAAATTGAGATATGATTAAAAATACGATTTGGGCATATTTTAAACGGTCAGGACAAGACACGAAAAACTTTAGACGATCAAAACTATTTTTCCAAGGATCCTTGATTAAAAATTAGTGTTTTTAGCACAGCCGTGGCACTCTAGATTGCAATTTAAAATACGATTTTTTTTAAAGCAAAAATGTCAAAAGTTGACATATGATATGTCATTCTATTCAGAGTGGCATTTTCTATCTAATAAAGTAAAAAAATACCGAGGGTGCCATTTAAAAATCTAAAGTTGTAGTACTTTCCGATGAAACAGGAAGTGGCCGAAAAGAATTGAATGCGTCAATCAATCCTAATTTATGTCATGTACTAACATGCCAAATCTCGTTTTTTATCTAAAAAAAGTTACAGGGATGAGCCAATTTTGAGGCGCATCCGGTACAGAGCTGCAAGCTCACAGAAAACGTCTTTTTTTTATTTAAATCAGTTCTTTAAACATCCAAAACAGATCTTTAAGCATTCTGAAATCCCAGCGATGTTGAGCCCGTCACCCCAAAACCACCCCTACAAGGGGTAAAAATGGCCCTTTTTTTACTTTTTCTTCAATAACTCTAAAACGACGAATTTTAGGAAAAAAGTGACGAGTAAAAAATTGAAGAGAAGAAAATTTCCTACCACATAGGTAAAGAACCAAAATTTTTAGAATTTCAGTGGCGCAGGTGCAAATTTTTTAATTTAGGAGGATTGTTATAATAACCCACTATTCTGTGTTTAACTTCAAATGAAAGTATTTTTGAGATAAATCTCGAGACCAAAGAATTTATTAGGATACAAGTTCCTATAAAAACGATCTTTTTAATAAAGGTAAGTTACCAGTGGCGGAGATAATTTTTTTAAATGTGCGTTTTTTACTTTTTAAAAACATATTGAATAAGAAAAATTGCAGTTTTACCAACAATTTCCCATGAAATAGGTATATTGAAAAATTTACACCTTTAATAACAAAATAATAAAAACTTTAGCTCAAAAATAGGATAACTTATCTTAATGATAGTCCTCATTCACTTCCATATTTGTTGGGTTCATACATGTAATGCCATTGCATTGACCACATGCCATAGTGCCGTGCTTTTTTACAGCCTCCCGAAGAGCAATTGCAATTTTTTTTTCTAAAACCCATGTAGATCAATGGGCTGGTCTGAATGTATTGGATTCATCTCTCGATTTTTCAGATTCCAACCCCAATCTTGCGGTTTTTATAAGCGGTGGTAAATTGTTATTTAAGCAAGCCTGTACCCTGCGATATTTTCAGATCTGTTTTCTCAATACTATAATTATATAACATATCACTATGGTAAAAATGTCACTGTTGTTTTTGATGGCTATGAAGAGATACAGACCAACATTGTGGAGCAGAATTGCAGATCTGCAGGTAAAAAAATGGTACCAATTATTGTATCTTTCTCGAATTTATCTGCAGTGAAGTTACCAAAGGCAGATTTTTTGTCAAACAACACCAACAAAAGCAACTTTGAAAATAAAATCAATGTTAAATTCGCTGATGGTGATGTTGATACTCTTATGTAACTACAGCGGTCGCAATAAGTGACAATTTACCAGAAGGGACCGTAGCAGTAGTTCGCGAAGGCAGATTTGAAGGCGAAGATTGAAGGCGAAGATACGGACATTATAGTGTTACCTACTGATTCTTTATCGCCACAAGAGACTGTCTATGATTCGTCCGGAAAAGGTGTCAAAACCAAATAAAATAATCGACATATCGGCCTTACAACAAAAATTGGGGGATCTGAAGAATGTGATTCTTACTTACTTCTTCTTGTCCACGCTATATCTGGTTGTGACAAACCTGCACTATGGCATGTAGCCAATTCAATGGCATTACACGTATCAACCCAACAAATGTGGAAGTGAATGAGGACTATCCTTAAGATAAGTTATCCTATTTTTGAGCTAAGGTTTTTCTTATTTTGTTATTAAACGTGTACATTTTTCAATATACCTATTTCATGGGAAATTATTGGTAAAACTGCAATTTTTCTTATTCAATGTTTTTAAAATGTAAAAAACGCACATTTAAAAAAATTATCTCCGCCACTGGTAACTTACCTTTATTAAAAAGATCGTTTTTATAGGAACTTGTATCCTAATACATTTTTCGGTCTCGAGATTTACCTCAAAAATGCTTTCATTTGAAGTTAACAGAATGGTGGGTTATTAAAACAATCCTCCTAAATTAAAAAATTCGCACCTGTGCCACTGAAATTCTAAAAATTTTGATTCTTTACCTTTATTTTAGGAAATTTTCTTCTCTCTTCAATTTTTCACTCGTCACTTTTTTCCTAAAATTCGTAGTTTTAGAGTTATTGAAGAAAAAGTAAAAAAAGGGCCATTTTTTCCCCTTGTAGGGGTGGTTTTGGGGTGACGGGCTCAACGGTTCATCGCTGGGGTTTTAGAATGTTTAAAGATCTACAAAATGAAGGTCCATGCAAAATTGCAGCTTGTCTCTAATTTGTTGAACCTCGGCCTGTATAGTGTATAGGCTCTGGTCTAAAAGGTTTAATAAGATTTAAGTCTTTCGATAAAAGGCTTAAGTCAGATTTTTACATATTTCTATGATACATTTTTTTTTCTCCGCTTTAATAATCCCAAAAATTTAATTCGTATCTTTTTACGATTACACGTCAGTAAAATGGAAATATATTAGGAATTGTTTTTGATGGATTTGTTTTGTTTTATGTAATTCTTGCAAAGACAATTATTTTTGTTTCGAAAATCTTTCAAAAAAAGTATAGTCTCTGTATACTTATAACACAAATTTTTAGTATCTGGAACTTAGATTTGGAAAAATTTCAAGATTAGCTGCGTCATTATCCTACACGTTACAAATGACACTTTATATGGGAATTGTTGTTTATGCTCCTGCTTTAGCTCTGGAAGCTTTAACGGGAATTAGTAAAGAGGTGGCAATTTTATCTATAGGTAAGTTTTTCCATCGTCAAATTGGTTAGCAACTGTCAAAATTGTATGAGATTATTAGTATAGTGTACTATTATAAAATAGTATTTTATAGTATTTGTTTCTTGTTTTAATAAAAATCCCATCAAAAAACATATAATGTAAAAAAATGCCAAGTCTCGCAACACAATTCTACCACTATAAAAATTTGTGAGATCTCATGTAAAACCAAGTAAGTGTACTTTATTTATTCTCTCTTTAAGCACCTATTCAACAATTTTGTTCTAAATTGTTAGTATCAATATTAGTCATCTTTATTTCTGTAACAATTCTTTTAATGACTTGGCAATTGCACAGCACCATAATTATAGAAGAATAATCTACAATCTCGATTACTAAGTAAATCTAAACAGTACCTTTAAAAATAAAGTTTTTTAATTAGAATAGTTATATCGTGCAATTTTATCAAAAAAAGTCATTATAATTATTACAGCAGATAATATAAAATAGAATATCATTTTATATATTAAATAATCAATATTACTTACTACATTTAAATTGTTAATTACAAAATTGTTACCAGCTCTAATTAAAGATTATATTTATCTTATTTATATTTATTGTAGGATAGGTTAGTACAGGGTAATCAGGTTTTGCAAAAAGTACCAAAATCAAAACAAATCATGAATTTTATTTCCTTAATACTAAAGATTGAAAAATAGAAATTTGGATAAGTTAGCTGTGCATTAAGGGATTTTCGTTTCTGAGTCTCAGAGCCAGACTATGTTAAGTCCAAATTAGCAATATTTTGACTAAAAATATTAAGTTTCATTGTTTCGTATTTTATGTTTTTGATTATATTTAAATTTAAAGGAAATAGCGCATTTTATACTACATTAACTCCAACCTTTCCCTCCAAGGCAAACAAAGTTAATTATTTACGTTCAGTTTGATATGTTAAATCTCTACATACAGGGTGAGTTTCCTACGATGTTTTCTATGGGTATCTTGGAAACTACTGAAGATAGAGAGTCGGTCAAATGGGGAAAGAATTGCAGTTTTATGGGGTCATAAATATGCGCCTTTTAGATTTTTTAAAAAGTTCATGGCTTACTAGATATTTCGAAAAAAAACAAATTTTGGCTATTTTAAAAATTGTCCCTAATTCCATTATAAGCTATTTTAGACAAAAAGTTTTCATATAAAAGTTGTAGATAATCACATCCTTAATGAGACTGTGTCCTCCGTTTTTTTCTAAAGCCTGTCATTTTTGACATATGACACAAATATATGTTTTTTTAAATGGAAACCATAGTTGGCCATGACTTCATAAAAAGCGCCATTTTTCAGCGATATAAGCTATAATATGTTTTCTTCCAAAAATTACTGAGTTATAGCCAATTCTTATAATTTTTAAACAATTTCACTTAGTTAGCCATGGAAACAAGTTTAATCGTCTTTGCTCTCAGAAATGTGAAGCTGTCACATCCAAACTTTGTAAATAAAATAAACAAAAATTGTAAATATGAATTTTTCAAATGAAGAAAAGCGTGTTATTATTGGCACTTTTCTTAGCCATACATTTTCGAGGATATGTTGACCGGGGAATGTTACGTTTTTTAGGGAACGGTTTTCAAGACATGTTAGAAAAGTTAAATTTAGTTATAGCCAATTTTTATTTTTCTTGACTAATTGCACTTAGATTACATGATATTCTTATTCTTCTATGATTTATAACTTATAAAAAGTTAGAATATATTATTAAACAATTATTCTTTAAAATTTACATTACACAAATTAAAACTTAAAAAAATAATCACTACATACACTTTAAGTTATTTTAGAAAATATTCAAAAAGTCCGCCATTGTTTTGAGTTGCATCTTTTTAAAACTGAATTACTACCTATTCTCACAGAAGGACCGGTCGACTTAATTAAACTTCTCTCGTACCCCCACTTCGAGTGCCTCTCTTAATTCATTAGTAAGTTCATATAAGTTTGTAAACCTTATAACCATACCACATAAAAAAATCTAAAATGGATAGGTCAGGTGATCGAGAAGGCCCATGCAATTGGTCCACCTCTTTCTATCCCTGAGTTTGCATAATATGATATAAATAATTTTTAACATTTCTTTCATTATGGCGGGTGGGTCATAATGAAAGTCATATTGGAACCATTCTATTGATGCGCGAGTATCTACATACTTTTCTTCGCTTGAAAAAATTCATATTTACAATTTTTGTTTATTTTAATTGACAAAGTTTAGATGTGACAGCTTCACATTTCTGAGAGCAACGGCGATTGAACTTGTTTCCATGGCTAACTAAGTGAAATTGTTTAAAAATTGCAATGGCAATTGGCAATAACTCAGTAATTTTTCGAAAAAAAAAACATATTATAGCTTATATCGCTAAAAAGCTTAAAAATGGCGCTTTTTATGAAGTCATGGCCAACCATGGTTTCTATTTAAAAAAAAACATATGTTTGTGTCATATGTCAAAAATGACTGGCTTTAGAAAAAAACGGAGGACACAGTCTCATTAAGGATGTGATTATCTACAACTTTGAAAATTGAATGAAAATTTTTTGTCTAAAATAGCTTATAATGGAATTAGGGACAATTTTTAAAATAGCCAAAATTTGTTTTTTTCGAAATATCTAGTAAGCCATGAACTTTTTCAAAAATCTGAAAGGCGCATATTTATTACCCCGAAACTGCAATTCTTTCCCCATTTAACCGACTCTCTATCTCCAGTAGTTTCCGAGATACCTATAGAGAACATCTTAGGAATCTCACCCTGTATATAAACATATATCTTGAATGTGGTTAAAATCATTTTGTGTTAAACTTATTTAAATATAATACATGTTGTCTTCATCTATGCCGTGGTTCTCTAGGACGACTAAAATGTAATCTTTAAGTTTGCACAAAAGAATAGAAAAAGTATAAGCATTTACACAAACTCTTAAAATGAAAAGACGAAAATGAGTAAGAGAAAGGTATTTATATTTTTCTATGCTATAAATCTACAAAAATATATATTTTTTTTAAATAAATTTTTATAACAAAATAATAAAAAAAAACATTTTCATCTGGAATTTTCTTTTTGGATTTACTATACATAATATATCTCAGAAATATGTTAAGAGTCCATTTCACTAGTCCGGAAAGTAGCAAAATAAGCGTTCGGGATTTAACGTTTTATGTAAAACTGGCTAGGTATTTTTACATAAATGAGGAAGGAAATTAAAGAAAAAAGATTATACTCTATCCGTATTGTAGCACAGTTTTAGACAACTTCTTTATTTTTAAGATTTTGATTGTCAAACATTAACAAAATATTTCTTATGCTTGGACTAAATTTTCTCGAAAATAAAGACGTAATTTAAAAATTTGTTACAATATCGCAATAGATTGAAGTTTTGTGATTACAGTGATATATAATTTATATGGTTTTGTAACAAATTGTTCGCTATTTTATGGCAAACGCTGAAGCTCTGCAAACCTTAATCAAGTCTTAATCATAGCACGTGTGTTTGGAATTTTGGGTGAGGCTTAACACGACAGGATCGGGCTAAACTTTAGGCAGATTTCTGAAATTTAATATACAGGGTGGTCCGAACTGTATTCCGGAAACTTTGGCAGCATATTATGCAGATAAAAATAAGTAAAAAAAGTTCACAAATGCATTTATCATGTTAAAAAACTCTCAGACAGCAATTTTTAACCAAATGTTGATGTTACTCCAGAAATTATTTGGAAAAAATCGAAATAAAAATGAAACTTCTACACCCTGTATCTCCGAAATTAAGCATTTCAGGACATACATTTATACGGACTTTTTTACTTATTTTTATGTACAGAATATGCTGCCGAAGTTTCCGGAATACAGTTCGGACCACCCTGTATATTTCCTTCGGCCACACACCCGCTTACCCGACCCTTGAGAGCGACCCGAACAGTACGGCGTAATAGACTATTTAGTCTTATGGATTTAACATGTATGTCAAATCACTCTAAATCATTTTTGTGGTAGGCAAAACCATTTTAACTCACAAAAGTCAAAAATAAGACGCCATTGGCTAAAATTACATTATGTTCCTTATTATAATATAATTAAAAATAATTCTCAAATATCAATTACTTCTCGGTTTAAAGTAAAGGGATTTTTACAATTTAAAAATATCTAAAATTAATTCACTAAAACTGCTCTACTGGAAAACTTACTTTTTGGATTGAACAGTCTGACTCTGATCTAGATTTGAGATAGTGGAGGAAAACTTAATTTTAGAAAACGAACATATTTCTTTAACTAGTTTTGCCTAAATGATTCATTTTTGCAAAATATTAAAAAATCATACATTTTTTAGAAACAATTTTTAAAATCATAAATATCTGACATTGGTATTGAACATGTTTTTTTATAGGTGTTGTATGTACATTTTACTCAACTCTTGGAGGAATGAAGGCGGTATTGATGACTGACGTCTTTCAGTCACTTCTCATGTTTGCGGCGGTATTTAGCGTAATCGGAAGCGCTGTTGTTAATAAAGGCAGCTTTGCTGAGATTTGGAGAATTGCTGAAGCTGGTAGAAGGACAGAATTATTAAAGTAAGATTAAGTGAAAAATGCTATTGTAGCATCTATTATTATCGTTCTATATTTGAAGATATAATACTCGTTCATACACAGTGCCTCAAAAAACATTTGCCATCTGTCGTGAGGAAATTCCTCATGTTTTACAGAAGTAAGATAAGTGCAAATAATTTCAAGGCTGGTAGATCTCGATAAAAGAAACAATTTTTTTACCGTTTTTTTAAAAGTTTAAAATAACCGAGTTATTCAAGTTTGAAAATTAAAAAATATTTATTTAAAAAAAATGAGTGCCACCAGATTTTTTCTGTATTTGCATCCCTTTTAGTTCTGTAATCATGGTAATATCAGAGATTAATAAATTATAACAAGGGAAAATTTTCTGTGAACAAGCAGTTCTAATATTTTTTTAAAAATATACAGCAAAATTTAAAAGAAAAATTTCAGCACGATTTTCAACACTTTTTTGGCGTAAGAAACCCTGTTATATGTACATATGTGTTTCTGGGCTCGAAATATGCCACCCCTTTAGTTCACTTATTAAGTACTTATTTAAGACTCTCCCTGTATTTTGTAAATTTTTAACAACATTGGTAAACCGTCTTTTTTAAATTTGGAATTTTTACACTTATTTTACTGCTAAAGCAACTGGCGATAGGGTACAAATCCGCAACAGTTCTGAAAAAGTACTTTCTATTAGGGTAGAGGATAGTACCGGCGGCATTTATACATTCCGTACATGTATATGGCACTTAGCACAATCCCATTGGTCAGATTTGAATTTTAAATCAATTAAACTACGAGTGCCATACGCGAGTATGGAACGTAAAACAGTGCCATGCGCACTTACGGAATGTACCTGGTAATTATGCTTGCAGCAGAAAGTAACGCCTGGCTATAGCTAACCTTGCAAGAGTAGCTGTGGCTCCGTGACTGACGCTATTGCTTCGTGAACGAGAGGTCCGTGGTTCAAATCTCACGTGGCGCCGGACCATAACTTTATTATTTTTTTTGTTTTTATTTTTTTAAAAAAGTTGTAAATATTTAATAGCAATCAAAATACGGATTGCGTTGGTTTCACTCTTTTTGGTGAGGTTAGATTGATTATTTGGTGGAATTAGTTGCGTTTGTTAAGATGGTTATTTGGTGGGGTTGATTGCGTTGGTTAGTTAGCTATTTGGTGGGGTTGGTTTAGTTTTGGTTGGAATGCTCTATACAAAGCCTTAATAATAATGTCTAAAGTACATTCCGTAAGTGCATAATGGCGCTGTCTTACATTCCATACTCGCGTATGGCATGGCACTCGGAGTTTAATTGGTTTAAAATTCAAATCTGACCAATGGGATTGCTAGGTGTACAGGAATGTATAACATATGTATACATGTACGGAATGTATAAATGCGTACCGGAGGTACTTTTTTATCCTAATGAGTACAGTAATTTCAAGAAATCATATAAAAGGCTAAGACTTGTACGTTATTAGGAATTTGAATGGAATGTATTAAAGCAGTTAACAATGTAATAACATACCAAATATAGCCTTAAAAATTAAAAGTTGGCGAAAATTAATTTGAAGCCAACACACAATATATATGGCGAAAATTAATTTGATATATAACACATATATATATATATATATATATATATATATATATATATATATATATATATATATATATATATATATATATATATATATATATATATATATATATATATATATATATATATATATATATATTAAATATACAGAGAAGACCAGGCTACTAGCACACTAGTAACATAGCAAGATGCCGGACGAATTTACGTTTACCCAATTTGCGTGCGTATTCGAGATTCACTGCCGGCTGTGCTGCCGGCTAGTCGGCTAGTCAGGCAGTACGCAGTTACAGTTGTGCTTGGACGGGTCGGTCGTGACAGACTAGGAATACGACGCGGGGAGTGCCGAGTATTTATTATTTTCATTTTAAGTGTTTACCTTCACTTAAGGTAACATTTAAAATAAATATACTTAAATATTTATTATTTGGGTGTGTTTACAAGCCAAAACTAAAAATAAATAAATTCTCTAAACCCAAAAAAAACTAAAATATTACTCTAAATAGTAACAAGTGTTGAAAAAGACCACCTTCTTGTGCTAGACAGAAGCCTAGGCGGTCGTAAAATCCCTGTCTGACATTGGCTAACATATTAGGGCTAATAGTTTGGAAAGCCTCTCGTATTTTTACTTGAAGCTCATCCAGATTATTAGCCCTATTATGACCATACACTTTGGGTTTTACATAACTCCACAAAAAGAAATCATTGGGAGAAAGATCTGGTGATCTAGCGGGCCACAAAATATCCACTAATTAAACGGTTAAACACTTGCTTTAACTCCTGTTCTTCATTAATCAACACATCGGGCTTCTTGTGTTTTTGTGGGGACACGCACCCATGTATTTCAAAATTATTAATAACTCTTGATATAGTAGGTAAAGATAGAATTGCTCTGTTTACAAAAGTTTGTGGAAAAATTGTTTGTATATCCCGATAAAACCTATTTTGGAAATACCATTTTACAATTTGAATTTTCTCACGAACTTCGTAAACATCCATTATTTTACTTAAAAAATAAATTTTACGCGAGAACTGTCGCGAGAATCTATGTATTCGTTTTGGCTATTAAAACACGAATAAATACAAATTATGAAACATTATTATCGCATATCTACCTATTTTTATTTTATCGCATTTTTTCGCCTGCTTTTTATCCGGCGGACGGGTATACGCTAATTCGTCCGGTTCTGCCTATGTTACTACTACGGTGGTCCGGTCTGTATACATAGGTACTGTAGAAAACAGCAAAATACATTAGTTTACCACAATACACAAAACAACTGACCTTTAGCATTTAAACGGGAGTTTTAATCATCTGCTGATTATGCTGACATGGTTAGCGAAATGCGCGTCAAGTGTTAGCAGTAAAGAATTTTGGTGCGTTATCGTGACCCAGTGTTTTATTTTGTGTTATCTTCCAGCTTTGATCCTGATCCAACCGTACGGCACTCGTGGTTCACCTTGATCATCGGCGGTGGAATAACATTTCTCACTCTCTATGGTGTGAACCAAACACAGGTTCAAAGGTACCTAACAATTAGCAATTTAAAAGACGCTCAAAAAGCGCTATGGTTGAATTGGCCTATTTTATCTCTATTAAGTCTCAGCACGTCTTTCGCTGGTCTTTGTATATATTCGAGATATTATGACTGTGATCCTGTCAAAGCAAATATCATAAGCAACGCCGATCAAGTAAGTCTATTTTTATGCATACTGTTATTCCAAAGAATTATACGATAGATAAAATGGCGCCAGGAATAGCTTGAAAATGATAGCTTGAAAATTATATGGGGATGGTCATCGATCGTCATTTCTAAGTCAATAGACGCCTTTTTTCGATCATATGCATAGATAACATAGTATGTTAAAAATGAGTATTTTGCAACAGAAGAAAAAATCTAACGTAATACAGTTTATTATTTTTTGTGAAATGAAACTGTATAGAAGCTAAATGGTAACCCGCTTATTATCAGTGTTTTTTAATCAGAAAAAACTGACTAAAAAAATGACTAATGTTTTAGGGGTAGAATCTTCTTCCCAGAAACAAAAAAAAACATTTGTTTAAAACTGTTGAAAATGTCTAAATATAATTATTCGGCAAGAAAATATTATACAGGATGGCCCGAATTGTATTCGGAAAACTTTGCTAATACGAACCGCAGCTCCTCCACTTAGGATCAATACCAAAGAAATAAAACAAATCTGTCAAACCCTGAAGAATAGAAAAACGTCAGGCCTAGGCAAGATTCCTCTAGAATTACTTTAATACGGCACGGATAAATTAAATAAGCAGCTCGCTAGCTCGCAGCTTTTCACAAAGTGCGTTAATAGTGAAAATATACCGAAAGAATGGAAAACGTCATATACCGGGTGCGTAAAAACCAAAGATTTTAAGCATATTTAACCCTTATAATAAATGCCTTTTTTTGGGCCCAAGAATCCAAAAATGAAATGAAATACCGGGTGTTCCATAAGAAAAAATATAACTTTGATATGGATCTTAGTTCTGAGACACCCCGTATATTTCAAAATAATTTTAAATTGTGCACACTGACTCCCCACATATACCCAAAAAATATTTTGTTTCTACATCTTTCCGTTTTTGTATAATCAACCGAGGCGAATGAGGTGCGCCACCCTGTATATACATGTCATTATTGAGAAAAATAATGATTTGACTAAATAGTTATTTAACTGAAATTATAAATCTGGTAACTTTTTATTTTGTTAAATTAATCATAATTTTTTCTAGGAAACAATATTATAAAACTTTTTTCTCGTTTCTGTTAAATCTTTCGCACAAAAATATTTTAAATTGATGATTTGAGTCTAATAAAAAAGTGTCTATAGTCAACATGTTCAATTTTTGTCAGTGATGACATGTATTGATTCAGTGAAAAATATGTAGGTGTCACCTGCTACAAGTAGAAGTTATATTGACATCGAAAATTTTATCATGTCACAAAACTTTCAGACACCAATTTTCATCCAAATATCAACATTAGTTCCGAAATTATTTGGACAAAATCGAAACTTCTACACCCTGTATCTTCGAAACGAACCATTTCAAGACATACATTTATACGATTTTTTTTTCGGCATAATACATTGCATAATGCGCTCCCGAAGTTTTCAGAATACAATTCGGACCACCCCGTATATTTTTTGTTTCTGACGACTGGGAACTGTAGACTATACACATACTTCCAGAAACTTTAAGCATTTTTTGTAGGTGCAGCAAATTTGTTTTATGAGTAAAAAATCACTGCCAAGTTTGTTTCCGGTTGGATTCTATGCAGTCGAATTTTACAGAAAATAAGTTCTGTAGTTTTCTATTTCAGTGACGAAATATCCAAGACTTTTTCAGGAAATTAACTTAATGTTTTGCAGCTGATGCCTTATTACGTAGTTGATACGATGGGATTTATACCAGGGTTATCCGGATTATTTGTTGCTGGAATTTTCAGTGCTGCATTGTCAACAGTGTCAGCTGCTCTAAACAGCTTAGCTGCTGTGACTGTAGAGGATTATTATAAGGTATTTTTAAATTTACTTTTAAATTTTAAATAATTTATATTTTTCACTTATAACTGTTTTAAATTTTAAAAATGTTTACTTAAAATATACAAGGTGATTCTTATATAATAAGTGCATTTTTTTCAGGGCTGGATCAGATCTCGATAAAAGAAACATTTTTCTCTTTATCTCAAATAAGTCCAAATAAAACACGAGTTATTTTACTTTATTTTTGACTTATATTTTGAGAACCAATGTTTTTTTTCGGTTTTCTTTTTTGTAAATTTAGTCTGCTATCTATGCTATTATATTTTTTAACTAAAAATAAAATTGAAAAGAAATTCAAAAAAGTTCGAAAAATACCAAATTTTCAATTTTTTTTTGGCGACAAAAAAACTATAGACGTATTTCTACCAAATACGAAATATACCACCCCTAAACGCATTTGCATTTATTTAAGACTCGTCCTGAATAATATCTTGCTAAAGGTTGATTCTCACTATACCTTCCGTTTCCATTCCATATCCGTTCCGTATTTTTTATTGTATTGACGCTATACGTAAGCTTCCGTTCCGCATCAGTTCCATACTTTTTATTATACAATTTATATCATTACGAAAGTTTTATTTTAAAAATTTGTTTCTTTTGAAAAAGGTAATAGATTTAATTTAGAGGTGAAAGAATTTAGCAGCAAAATTTTAACAGAGCTGGTACAAATGTAAGAACTTTGTAACACAACGCTGTTTCCGATACGCTTCAGTCCGTCCGCCAAAAAAATGTATGGAAGGAGAGGATATTATGGAACGGAAGGGAAACGGAACGGATAGTGTGCATTGTCCTATTCATTTACATGATATAATATATATTTTATGTAAACGGAAGGGAGCTGATATCCAAGGTATAGTGAGAATCAACTTTTATATGACAACACGCGTAGTATATTAAATATAAACAAAAAAAAAAACGGAAAAAATCCCGTTGTTCTGAAAATTACAGAGAAAAGAAAATTAAATAAAATAATAAATAAATTCGGCTATTTTGGATTTATTTTAAAACGCCATAAAGAACATTTATTTTTTTATCGAGATTTGCCAGCCCCGAAAATATTTGCACTTATTTAAGACTAAGCCTTTATAAAGTAAGCATACCTATTGGCTGCCACTTTGTTTAAGCTGAAAGTGCCAGAAATTGGAAAATATTTTAAATGTTTCTGTACCGGGGGGCACATTAAGCCGATGCAGTCTAATTTCGTTGTCTAAAGGTCGATTTATAAACTCTACAGTTGGCTTTGGATTTGCCGTCGACCGTTCGTAGCGCCGCAAAATCGCATTTATAAACTCGACGGTTGACAGTTGGCTTTGGCCGTTTTGGGCAGATCTAACCTTACATTTTTGTTTACTTTTTACTTGAGAGTAGCAGAGTCTATAGTGCGTTTTTAGAGACGAAAGTGTTTAAAGTTTTGGTTTTTTGTTCGAGATTTTTAATTATGGATTTGGAAAGTAATGGTCTTGATGAAATTACCCTATTAGGGTTATTGGGAGTGACCATAAATTTGGAATTCCCATACTTCAAAACTAGATGTAAACAAAGCAACACGTGATCGCTCGTTTACTATTCTTTTGTAAACCGCTTCGAACGGTAAAAAGTTAAACATAATTCAAGTCCGACGGCAACCGGGCGCCAAAGCCAAAGCCAACCGTGTTTATAAATGCTCTTATGGTAATATAAAGTTTTAAGAATTGGGCGGCGGCGCCAAAGCCAAAGCCAAATCCAACTGTGAGTTTATAAATCCTACTTAAACGTTCTTCAACCCAGTGTGAGTACATCTCAATTGCAAAACCTCTAACGAGGGGTAGAGGACTCAAAACCTCACAATCTTTTGAAATGTTTATCTCAATTTTTAAAAAAATAATGGGTCAACTTGCTTCGGGAATCAGTTACTTCTTATCAGCAGACCCAAAAAGACAAAAGTCACGCAAAAAATCATCACACATCAACTACGAAAAAATAAGATAAATAGTTTGTTGATATTCATTACACAAATGTACTCGTAATTATTGCTATTAATCCACTTAAAAAAAAAAACATTCTTCGTTGTATTTATCAATAAAAGATTATAAACTATGTATAAGTTTTTATTGATAAATACAACAAAGAAGATTTTTTTTAAAAAGTGGATTAAATTAATAGCAATTACAACGAGTACATTTTTCTAATGAAAATCTACAATCTAATTATCTTATTTTTTCGGAGTTTGTGTGGCTTTTTGGCGTGACTTTATCATTTTGGGCCTGATGATGGGAAGTAACTGATTCCCGAAACATGTTGTCCCATTTTTAAATTAAACTTTCTTCATATCTTTGTCAACAACGATAATATTCGACTTCCTCGGACTAATAGGTCACTCTGTATAAACCTTTTATTTATTTAATGAAACGAAAACTTTTAATAAACGAGGAAAAGATCTCTGGACATTGATCTGTCACTAATTTAATAGTTCTTTTTTATTTTAGCCCTTATACCGATATGCCTTTAAACAAGATCTTCCATCTGATAGTAGTTCCTGGCAAACAAAATTGATTGCATTTATTTACGGATTGATATGCGTTGGTGTAGCGTTCCTTGCTCAGTTTCTTGGAGGACTTCTTCAATCGGCACTAACTATTTTTGGACTTGTTGGAGGTCCACTTTTAGGACTGTTTTCTTTGGGAATGTTTACCCTTACTGCCAATGAATCGGTGAGATATACTAATAAATTGTTATCAATAACTTTAAATCTAGTGAATCATGATAGCGGAAAATTTGCATAAAATGGATGCTTTTTATTATAATAAAATCGTAATCAATTTAATTTGCTTATTGTTAAATTAAGATATTTTGGCAAATGTTCCTAGTATGTTTTTGTCAGTTTTATATAATTTTCGTAGGTGAAAAATAAAAATGTACAACTTTTAGAACACTGAACTTCTTGCAATGGCCTACAGTGTAGAGCATCTCTAACATGTTGCTTTTCCTGGAAAATAATAAATCATTCAGATTATTTCAAAGGATTTTAAAATTTTTTGAATATGTCAAGATTTTGATTTTCGCTATAACATCGCAACATAGTCTGTAATTTGAAAACTAACATTTTTGGTTTTTTACATTTAAAAAAAATCAAATCATCAAAAATTCGGCAAATTTGTAATAATAAAGATTCTGTATTTGCGCCTACACCATTCAACACTTTTGAAAAATCCTAAATTTAAGGGTAAAATTACTTGGTAGGTATATTCATAACTTTTTATATTTATAACATTTTTGAAAGATTAGAGAAATGATAACCTCGGATATTTGGAAAGCGTTATAAATATAAGAAAATATGAATATAGAAGAAGAAGAAGAAGAAGAAGAAGAAGAAGAAAGATTTTATATAAGCCGCATCAGCTGCTGGGCCATTTAGCGGCATTGATCAAATTAAAGTTAAATTAAACTATATTAATGAACCCAAACTCGATGCCCTAATAAATTGGAACAAAGAATTATTTGTTATCAAGCATCAAGAACGGAACGTTATTAGCATCAAGAACGGAAGCCAGATCGCCATTCAGACCAAATGATTGTCTTAAGTTATTGAAGGAGGGACATTCTATTAGAAGGTGGTACACTGTTAATTGGTTGCGACAATGAGAGCAGTTAGGCGGGAGGTCGCCTTTTAAAAGGAAAGAATGGGTGAAATAGCAGTGACCCAACCTGAGCCGATTCCAAATGACTTCCTCACTTCTGGACAGTGACCGAGCTACAGAAACTTGAAAGAATTGAGGTTTACATTCATATAGCTTATTTGAATCTCCGGTCACTTTCCACTCTGCCTGGATACCACTTTTTATTGTGGACATATTATGTAGAAATTTAAGTTCAGAGATAGAAAATGCAAGTGGTATAATATCTCCATCATTTGCCGCAGTCTTAGCAATCTTATCAGCATCTCCATTACCTCTTATACCTTATGGCTAGGAATCCATACTAGATCCAAAATATAAATATACCACGTGGTTTTACACTTAAATTTAAGATATTTCAAAAAGTGGAATTATTTGAATGTTGTATGCGACGGCGTACTTAGAAATTTGTTAAAAATTAGTTATTTGTGTAACTATTGCAAAAAGGATATATTTCCTGCATGACGCATGCGTATTGCAGCTCGAGCCGAAGTCCATTATCATGGGTAATACAGCAATACAAAAATTTAAAAAAAAAATTACAAATTTTTTCTCTTTAGTTAACTCGTCATTAATAATATCAAAGTGTTTTTTCCACTAGTGTAAAAAAATGACTTTTAATACAGTAGATTACTAGTAGTGTAAAAATAGCTACTTTTTGCACGATTGTAGAAAAAATATATTTTTATTGGCGGATCTAATATAAATAATGCTTTAATATTTCAATTTCAATTATATTTTATTTTAGGGTTCTGTAACTGGATTGGTATCTGGCATTGCCATCGCCGCATGGATGGCATTTGGTCCAAAGCCAGCGCCCACAGCACTTCCTACCTCAATCGATGGTTGTGAGACGTTTGTAAATATTACTCAAACCGAAAGTGTTCAAAAAGATGACAGGTTAGTATTCTTTTTGAAAAGCTTTGCAAATTTTATGTTTATAAAAATAAGTAAAAATGCGCAGAAGAGAAAATACTTCTCAGCAACGGGTGAATCGCTTAAGAACGTGTTCTAATGCCGGAACCGCACATGCGGCATTTGGCGATCTCCGATCAGGGCTTCGCCGATTTCCTATGTATGTGGATGGAGAAGTCGGAGTTCGGCGACTCGATCGGCGACGAGAACGAGCGCTCGTCTCTATGTTGTTGCTATCAGAGCCCGCATGTGTGGATGGAAAGGCGAAGTCCCATCACGAGCGCTCGGTAGTTGACGAGCGCTCGGAGTTCGCTAAATGCCGCATGTGCGGTTGCGGCAAAGAATGCCTAGAGAAGCTGAATAAATTAGGCAAAGATAATTAAATCTTTCTACTTTGGGTGCCGATCTACAAAGGGAGAGAAGGCAATGAAAAAGCAAACGATCTAACTAACTGGACCAGAACCGTTCTGCTTCCCAAGTAGTATCAACTTAAAGCGGAAGTCAGTCATCTGGAAGACTTTATCCGGAACCTGGAATGGTAATCCTTCAACGGTCTAAGACAATCGAAAGAAAATTATCTGAACTTACGACCTAGAAAAATCAAAGATTTTCCTTGATTTAAGTAAGAATAATTTTCATGATTGTCACGGGTTTTTTAACAGGACACTGGTCCCACAAGTAATACCTCAGTTGATTTAAAGTAAGAAGCAACAGTGAATGCAGATTCTGTGGAAAAAATGGGCAAACACCAGAACACCTCATCACTGAGTGCGCCGAGACGACAACCATTCGTGCCATAAACATCGAAGATTGAGAACTAACGTCTGTGCAACCGTCTCAGATACTGGCTATTGTCAGAGCCCTGAGACTGTCTTGAGTTATAACTCATTATAACTCAAGAAAGGGGGACACACAATAGATCTATAAGGTCGCTGTGATTAACCCCTCTCCCTAACATTCTACATGGGGTTGACACACTGATTATTATATAGGGTGTCTCAGAAATAAGTGCAAGTATTTTAACTGGTAGTATAGTTCAACCCCAGAAACACGCCTATGAGGTTTTTTTTCTCGAAAAAAAATTGAAATTTCAGAATTTTTTCAAAAATTTTTTGGAATTTTTTTAGTTTTTATTTAAATAAAATAATTTCTTGATAATATGGCAACATAGGTAGTAGATTAAATTTACAAGAAAGAAAACCCAGAAAAGATCCAGTGGTTTTCAAAATTTTAGCAAAAAATCATTTTTTTTTAAATATGTAATATGTAATAAAGAGAAAATATGTTTCTTTTATCGAAATCTACCACCCCTTAAAATACTTGTACTTATTTCTGGGACACCCTGTATAAGAGGTAAAATTTTCAAGGATTCCGAAAAGACACATAAAAATTTAGTAAAGTATTTGGGTTGGGTTTGGATTCAGGAATTTATTTTAGGGGGGATTATAATGCTTACTGCCTCCTCTGATAATGCGTATTAAAATGCTTACTTGGACTATAAAAATTACCATTTGAATTTATGTGAAAATATGATTTAATTAAATCTATTGTTGTATCTATTTTTTTAAATGTGTTTCTAATAAAAAATGTTTATTTAGAAAAATATATTAGAAAGAAAAAAAGAAGAAAAAAATTATTATTGATTGTCACGAATAAATCAAATTTGGATATGTATTTATCATTTGATATAGAACGTTTTGTATCTTATTGAACTTATGAAAGGCAACGCGCCCACTTAAATTATTTTACTCATTTAACACATTCATTCATTCATTTAGTCTACAATTATTGCAGTAAATTAACAACTTAAAAACTACGAATAACATAATGGTCCGTTTAGACTTGAGCACGCATGCACTGATCCTCCGCGAATGCTCAAGTGTAAACAGCTGTGCGCGCACGCTCACTCTGAATCTGTCTGTGCGCGAGCAGCCGCGAACGTGAGCCGTCTGGTGTCGGTTTTTGGTCCGTGCTCAAAGAGATTTTATGTATGCGCGAACGCTCAATTTGCACCGGCAATTTGTATTGTCTGCGTTCGTGCGTGCGTGTGTGATTTTTTTTCGTTTTCTTTATTAAAATTATGGAGTGGATCAATGAATCTTCGTTATTATTAATTGAAAAATATGAAAAGTTGCCTACATTATGGGATGTTAAACATTCTTTGTATTATTAAAAAATCAAAAAAATAACGCATGGCAAAACCTTGTAAATAAAATTAATATTGCATATGTCGATATTAATGAAATTGTTATTCTAAAATTTGTATCTTATGTTCGTAATTTTTGGTGTTATTAAATTTTGTAAATATTCAAAGTCGGGCCTTGTCATTCTTGTAAAGTTTTTGAACTGATCATAGCCCTCCTCAGATACTAAGTTGTTGCAGTAAATTATATCGATTTCAAAAAATTTGGGTTTGCCACCAGCGACGATGTTTTCAATTTTTCTTCTTTTTAATAATTAAGCTGTGCATAACAATGACTGCAGCCTCGACTAGGTCGTCCATTATTTTCGCCAACACAACTCTGCTGTGCGCGTACAAATGGATCACTTCATTCGTCGAAAAATAAGTTTTTAATTTGAACGGAGCCGAGAGCGCGAACGAATGCCGTGCGCGCACGCTCAGCTTGTGCGTGCTCAAGTCTAAACGCACCATAATAAACCGTTTACAATATTATATGTGTAATAATTTTTTATTAAGTAAAGTAAGTTAACATTATGCGTTGTTGCAATATGCAATATGTAATTTAGATTGCATTTAGTCAATATTAATAAAGGAACTTTAAAAAATGTTATATCGGTTTGAATATTCATTCATTGAATATACAGGGTTGTTCACGACATACGATACGGAGTATTGTAGCTAAATGATTAGATTTTTACAAATTGTAAGTTTTGTATTCGTTGAAGGACTATTAGAGCTACAATTAAAAATATTTTTACAAGATACAGGGTGTCCCAAATAAATAAAAAATATCAAAGTTGTATTTTTTTAAATGAAACTCCCTGTACATTATTACATTTTTAGTTTCTACGATTAAAATAAAGGTAAATTTGATTAAGGTTTATTACACTTAAACCTTACCGTTTTTGAAATATTTTCAATTTTATGAAATTGCAGTCAAAATTTTAAGGCTTCATTTCTCCAAGGGTATCAAAGTTTTTAATATTAAATATTTACTGAAGTATATTTATTGATCAGTTATTGTGTTTGGTTTGGCAATAATAAAAATAATACTCATACAGAGTGTCTAAAAATTTATTTTAAATTGTTTCTAGCTCTAAACGGCAATAACTTGGTTAATTTAAATAGAACACCCTGTATATTTTAGGAAAATCAGATGCACAATTTAATTGTCTATCAAATTGTATTATACCACTTTTTACCTATCCCTTCAAGTTTTCGTAGAAAATGCATTTTCTAATAATTTAGACCTCATTTATCATATACCCATGGAATATTAACATTTTAGATTGTTTTTAAAGCAACAAATGTACAAAATATACAGCCTAGTAATATTATCGTTTTTAGCAAAATAATAATATTACCAGCCCATTTGTATGCAAAAAGAAAACTATTTAAATCCTTATAAAAGAGTATACCATTAATTAAATATACCACCATTATTTCCGCCCAAATACTAATTAATTACATACTTAATTATGTTCGTTAATAAATTATTCTAAATAAATGTGGATTTGAATCAGAATATAATAATAATCAGAATAATAAATTATGAAAACGAATGTCTCTGTTGCTTTAAGTAAGCATTTGTCAAAAAATGAAATATCATATTTAAGGTGTAACTTTTTACCACACTCTCTATACATATACACATGCAAAATTCAGTTTTTTAGTATTTGGAGCAATTAATATTAACCAACGCAAACAGTCAATTAATGTAGTTTGAATACTGGAATCATATTAATTAGTCCTCTTTAACAAATATTTAAACAGTTTTTTTTTATTTTTTAATGAAATAAAAAACTATATCGACAATATTAGTATCTGTGCTCTTTAAGAATTTGGTACATCTTTAAAAATAATCTAAAATGTTAGTATTCCATGGGTATATTGATAAATGAGTTTTAAATTACAAGAAAATGCATTTTCTACGGAAACTTGAAGAGATAGGTAAAAAATGATATAATGTAATTTGATAGACAATTAAATTGTGCATCTGATTCTCATAAAATATACAGGGTGTTCTATTTAAATTAAACAAGTTATTTCCGTTTAAAGCTAGTAATTATTTAACACTTACACTCTGTATAAGGTAGTATAATTTTTATTATTGCAACACAATAACTGATCAATAAATAAACTTCAGTAAATATTTAGTATTAAAAACTTTGATACCCTTGGAGAAATAAAGCCTTAAAATTTTGACTGCAATTTCACAAAATTGAAAATATTTCAAAAACGGTAAGGTTTAAGTGTAATAAACCTTTATCAAATTTACCTTAATTTTAATCGTAGAAACTAAAAATGTAATAATATACAGGGTGTTCCATTTAAAAAAATACAACTTTGATATTTTTTATTTATTTGGGACACTCTGTATCTTGTAAAAATATTTTTAAATTGTAGCTCTAATAGTCTTTCAACGAACCCAAAACTTACAATTTGTAAAAATCTAATCGTTTAGCTACAATACTCCATGTCCTATCTGGTCAACAACCCTCTATAGAAATAAACAGGAACTCAAAAAATTGTAATTTTTACATGGCATATAGCCAACTGTTTAAACACATTTTGAGCTGGTAAGAATAACGTTATTCCGTTAAAAATTAGAAACTTCTAACAATATCTTAGACGGTGATAATATATTACGATTTCTATGTAAGTGCATATTATTTTGATCAATTAATATGCAATTTTTCAGATATCTGACCAGTTAGTATATGATTGTTCTAGGAGTAATGTTTAATAAGTGAATTTTTGAATTTATAAAGCTTCAGGAATATGTTGGAGTGTCATATGAAAT